CAAAGAACGTACGCATTTTACTTGATTTCTTTTTATTCTCCCTGGCAAACGTCTAAGAGGGATTTTAGCTTTGCATGCTGCATTTAAATTAGGGACTTGATCCGAAAAAATCTTCCCTTCAAAGATGGTAAACATTTACAAAGAGGTAATTAAATAAAGATAAAGATTTAGTTAAGAAATGTTTATTTAATACGGAGTCAATATAAAGCTGATAAGTTAAATTCATGGAAGACTTAATAAAGCAACTGCAGCATAATAAAGGAAAACCAAGTTTTTTGATTCCGACTAAAGTTTAGCTCAGTGGCTGACAGTGTTGAGAATGAAAATGCCTGTGTATGCCGTAAATACAAATGACAATCCTGGCCAAATACACCCTGTATTAAAAATATATTATTTCAGGAATGGATTGAACTAACATGACTCGTGGTAAGTCCAGTGGCCGGAACTTGTGAAAATTCTAGATCAAAGTTCCACTAGAATTTTCACAAGTTCCGGCCACTGGACTTACCACGAGTCATGTTAGTTCAATCCATTCCTGAAATAATATATTTTTAATACAGGGTGTATTTTTGCCCATTTGAGTGATTATTAGCTTCTCGAGAGGGTGTCTGTTCCGTGAAGTTAGTTAATTCGCGTAAATAATTTAGTTATGTGTGCAGGGATGTCTCCCATTTTCTTCATTTGTCTTCCGGCCATGCCACTTCCTTATTTTTTATTTCAAATGCTTGGTCTGTTTTTGGGTTGTAACTTTTGGATGTGCCAAATGATCCGTACCGTTATAATTATTTTAATAACTTTTCATTCAAAGGTAATATTTACCCTAAAGTGAGAACAGTTTTCATTTGTCTTTGTCGATCTCTGTGATGGCGAAAATTTCTTTAAGATACGGAGTGGATTCTTAAATATTTCTTATACGAGATCCGTCTTCAAAGGCTTACAAATCATTCTGAAATGGAATGGATTACCTATCACCTCAAATCACGCAAGGCTCCTGACCCTGATTGAATTCAAAATATAATACTCTTAACACCTACTGCGGGTAGTGCTCAAATTGATCGCCAAAATTTTTAACAACATATCCATTAGTGAAATCAGTAAAATTTAAAGTGTTGAAGTAATTTTATGGCAAATGCAAATTAAGGTTGATTTCTCGTTGTTTCCTCAGTCTCAACGGTATTTCTCTTTTCTTACATTCTTTGTTACTCCAAAGACCCGTCTTCCAGAATCGCCTCATTCTATTGATTGGTGGTGTATGCAGCAGGAGGTGAGGAGTTTTATCACAACTGTAATGCCACTGTGTTAGCTTTTGAGACAGCCGGTAGAATGGTCGATACATTAAAGCCGATGAAGTAATTAACATATTGGATATTGTGATCCTCTTTTGATCTGTAGATGGCTTTCTTCTGGGTTGTAGCGCCGCGTAGTCTAGTAAACTACCGGACTACACGGCGATACAACCCAAAAGGCAGCCTTGCTCAGATTCACAGCCGTGAGAACCTGAAATCCTACTCTTCTGATCTGTTGTTACTATTGAATTTATCTTTAAATACACCAATCAGAATTATAATCGGTGACAGCCTTCATGAAAACCAATTTTTCCGGAAGACGTTGCGTGGTATTTTATTGAGTCATCTTGCTCGTTAAAGTCTGAATGCAGTTTCGATCAGGAAATTAATGTCTATAAGTCATAAAAAATCGCCCTTATCATGGAGGCAGTACGGATCTCTGAAACGTCGGTAAACTTCTACCAGACTACACGGCGAAACAACACAGAGGACAGCCATCGTCAGACTTACTGCCGTGATAACCTCAGATCCTACTATTCGAACTGAATTATGATTAATTTAGGGGGAGTTATCACTGACGTTTATTTGAAGTATGTTCCGTTGCCCAAGAGGTTTATATTATAACGGGTTAATTTACTATCTGCCAGTTTGTCTAACGCTGTATAATGTATGGGGAGACTTTTGTTGTGAGCTTCGTGCGATTTATGTTCTCTGGTCGCGTGTAACCTGCTGCGAGGATTAGTGAACCGCGAAGTGCAATTGCGAATACCCGACGCTCGTGCGTACGCAGGCTTGAAACGGGCTGCACGGTCCAGTGACACGCTTTCTCGGAACGTGCGGGTTTCTTTCCAGCTCGAGCGACTGTGAAACGCACTTCATTATAACAATCCATAACATTAACTGTTAAAGGTTCCTCCGATGGTGCATTGTGGTCAATATTTTCGCCTTTCTGGACTTCATTCTTCCCATCCCATTCCCTTAACCAGGAATTGGGATTTGCCTCTTCTATTGGACCCACCAGAATAGGATTTTCGCCTGAATACGGCAGCAGATCCAGCTCCCGAAATGTAATGTCTTGTTTTAAAGTATTAAATGGTGGATGAAGCCCACGACAGTGTTGAATCTATAACGTTATAGCACAAAGGTACTAAAAACTATGCCTCTAGGAGTTTAATTGAATATATGCCTACGGTGTTCTTTATCACCGGTGTAAAAATAACTCATTACCACCAAGATTTTAGTACTAATTTATTTGTTATTTAGAATATGTGTTTCGATTAGCCAGTCATCATCTGAACTCTCCCTCTAATAGCCAAATTTTGATTTTTATATTTCGTCTTATTTTAAATAAAGGCGTTTTAATACGAAGAACTTATTAGGTTCGAGCGTAATGATTATGTAAACAACGCATGTATGTATAAGCGATACACTTACTAGTAGTAAAATTATATGTGGATTCTGTGAAATTTAACCCTTTAAAACCTAGTTGTAACTAAATGTACTGCCTGATTTAACAATCGTTGGTAAACGCTGGTGAACTTCTGCCTGACTACACGGCACTACAACCCGAAAGACTGTCATCTTCAATCTAGTTATTGTTTCAAGAAAATTATCTGGAAATTACTTTAGCACAATGGGATCACGACAAGTTGCTTGCCGTTTACTCTCCCTTTCATAATCACCTTCTCATTATTTATAACACAGTTTCCTATGTCGCTGTGATTGGCTTACCGCTCACCCAAGCATTGCACTGGTCGCAATAGTTACTATACAATTTGCATCTATGAATATCTAATTGGTTTCAAAATTGAGGCAAATGCCTAATTTGATATGCATTGGCGGGCTTTTGTGAACAAGATATTGAACCTTTGTCTTGCATATTAGCTTCTGAGTAATGACTGCCCCATCGAATAAACTAGCTTCAATTTACCTGTTACAAGAATGTTTTGGGTTTACCACATTATTATTACTATTATCCCATCTATTCACCACTTTATAGGGTATTTACTTCCATGTAACCGAGACAAACCTTGCCCCTGAGGTACATAGTGCAGCAGCTATTTCCGAAATACATTTTGTTTTCTAATACGTGTTTTTATTATTATTATTATTATCTTTAATAAATACTTATTTTGTTTGCCGATAATAGCCAGCTTTTTAAATTAAAATATTTTAAGCTTTTTGTTTTTAATTGTGTTTTATTGTGATTTTCATTTTATGTCTTGCCTATACAGCAGCCCGTGTCCGTCAAGCCTGAATATACGCCATTTGTGTGATGCGGAAAAAATGTTACGTTCTTACTCGTTCCAAGAAATGTAAACGAGGCTTGGAAAGGGGGGGGGGGTATGCGTATGGCGGGAGTCTGACTTTAGACTCCGCAGAGATGTTTTTACATTTTATTTACTTTATAAAGAAATGTTATAAATGTTAATGCAACTTTCAAATGTTATGCTGCAGTACTTTATTTTCCAGTTAAACACAAAAAGGCTTTATTCTCATCAACTTTGGCGCTAGCCTATTAATAACATTTTGATTTATTGAAGGGACCTAATAACACTTAACTTTCCTTAAAGCACATGTATTTGTTCAGACACTCCGGAGGAAATTATGAATGTCTGGCATTAATGTTATTTATGTATGTCTTTAAAATACGCTGGTCCGTTTATCTGAAAGTTAGACATCGTCCCATATGTTTGTATCGTTCGAAAAGTTGTAATTTTTAACCCTCGAAAATGTATTTTTGGGGTTGGGTTGCAGGTTCCTCTGCCATATTCTCTGTTTAACATTTATATTAAACAAGAAATAAATTTATAGTTTTAAGTAAGACTGTTTTGAACTTTGAGCTTTTAGGCTGTTGGCTGGAAGACAATATTTTGAACTGAACGGTAGCCAGCCCCCGAATTTAATCTGCTCTTTACTTGTCTCTGGGCGTTATTTGTACCTATGTTTGCCTCATAAATTAATCAAATTAGCGCAGGTATTATAAGTACTGGTCATCGAGTCCGGGAAGCTTAATTTCTTCAGATGCTTTGCCAACGGATTTTGCTATTGTCATTAATAAATCGTCATTACTGAAATGGACAGATTTAATACATTAATCATAAGAGTCCAATTAGTGATTCATATTCTGTACTTTGTGGTGAAGTGAACCGTTATCCGAGAACATCATATGAGTTGCCAATAGTTTAATTTAAGTAGGATTTCACTCAGAAGTTTTGAGGATTAAGCATAAGACAGAAGTCACAGTACTGGCTATAAATTAACACAGAAATTATAAATTAGCAGGAATTGGAGATTAGAAGGTAATCTCTTCACTCTGGTCCACCTTTCTTTTTGATTTTTACTTCGGTGTTTATTTGGTAAAAGTGTACCCCGAAGTTTGTGGTTTCAGGAAAGGTTGTTTGTCCATCCAGCCTCTTCCTTCTGCTACCCTCCAGCACACAAGTTAGTCCTGACAGAAAATAAAATACTTTCATTGACTCGAGGAGTAAACTTACTGATCTCCAAAGTAAAACACTATTGATGGCTGTCTTCTGGGTTGTTGAGCCGTGTAGTCTGGTAGAAGTTTACCGACGTTTCAGAGGTCGTTGCTGCCTCCGTCATCAGGGCGAATCGCTGTGGTGTAAAACTTAGTCTGATCTGAAAGTCTTAAACTTACACGGTGGTACATTTAATTAAATGTCCCGTGTTAAACGTTTCTCTTGTAAAGTCGACGTCTTAGTAACTGTTTTGTCAAAACTCTGTGGAATAATAGGGTACTGATGATACGTCGGTTGTTTATGACATCTGACATGGTTGTAACCCAGGAAGAGTTTTGAATCTAAAAAATAAATTTGTCCTTATACAGGTACAGTTAAGTTTACATTTTTCTTGTTCGTCTAGAAATATTGATGGTGGTTTTCTGGATTGTGATACTGTGTTGTCTTATAGTTTGTTATCAGCCTTTTTCCGTAGTTTAGACTACCCGGCGTCACAACACACAAGATCACCATCGAGAGAATCTCTTTATCTTATCTAGAAATGATGGGATGATTCGACAAGGAACATAACCAGAAACAGCTGTTTATTTCTAATTTTTTATTAACTTGTACTTGGTGTGGTATTTGTTCTCTTTGTGCGCTCAAGTACTGCTGCAGACTTTTTTATTTAACACGGCAAATTAATATATCGACGGTTTCCATCAGAGGAAATATATTTGTTTTTCGCAGCGACTTTTAAGCAGGCTCTAAGGCCCATGTATAATCCTATAAAATGAGGACCGGGGTCATTTTGCCCACAGTAAGGTGGCCGGGACCTGAAGGTGACTACTCACCCCCATCTATTACCGAGGTCCACCATCTTTCCTTCTGTATGTCGCCTGTCTTGTAATATAAAGTGTATTTTATATTTGTTTATTTATTTCGGTTAATTTAATATTGCGTGCTGCTGGAGTTTTGTTGTCCAACATAAGTGGCTGAATTGTGAATGTGTTCGATCTTCCACAGGGCCAGAGTGAAGAGCGGACTGAGGTTACTTGGAGCTGATGCGAGTACAGAGCAGTGGAATGTGAGTGTGGATCTGAACCCCAAGCACACAGTAGCCACAGCAACGGCCATCCGCAGAGAGAGCAACGCAGACCAGCAATCCGGACAGCAAAAGGTTTTGCCGAGGTAGGAACGCACCAGCGCACTGTTGTAGCCACCGCCCCAAATACAAGCAGCAATACTTCACATATGTAATCAGGATTATCGTCATAGGGTAAACCAATGTCTTCGTGCTTAACTTATTTTTCTGTAGGTCCTTGGTTTGATTCTCTGCTCACACGTCGGCTATCCTGACGTTTATGGTTGAATTTTTAGCTTCTTTAGACGAATTCTGGGATAGTGTATTAAAGTAGGCCACGATGGCGTCCATCCCTATACTTTCCACAATAAACAAAAACAAATGCGTCTTACGTCGCACGTGTTGTTTCTGTTTTAACTACTTTCGTGATCTCAAACGCATTCAGTCTGTGTTCTTCCCTTGAAGCGAGAGACCAGTTCCCACACCCGTACAAAACAACTGGTAATATTAACTATAGTTTTATGTATTTATATCTTTACGTCTTCTGAAAACGGGACGACAGAATTGCATAGTGCCATGCATTCTCCGAATTTAACCTGTTTTTAATTTCCTCATTAGTGAAATTCTGATTTGTTACCGCCGTTCGCCACATTAGACACTTGCAATGATTTTTTTTCCTGCACCCTGTCCATTTCATTCCAATTTAATTCCCCTGAACAGTATTAGACCGAGCAAAATGCAAGCTACAAAGTTATTTTCCCGTTCGGTTAACGCGTCTTTGTCCAAATATTCTCCGTCGTCCAAACACCTTGAATCATAAAGATCGTACGTAATAACTTTCACCAGGAAAAAATAAATTTATCAGCGTAATTGTTTAGTTTTAAGAGAACAACCTGTTTGTAAATTTTGAAACTTTAACAGAATAATTTTATTTAATTCCTTCCAGTCGTAATAATGAAACTGGCAAACGTTTTGTACGTGTACACTGTATCGCTGTCTGTTCCCTGGGGGAGCCGTCAGTGATCCTATCCTATATGTTGTTGGGCGATATTATTATCATTATTATCATAACTTAATAAGTGATGATTAAATTATGTTAACAAACTATACCCTAGGCCTATTTGCAGTAAAATCGTAACCGTAACAACGCGCACGATTGTCTCTCAATGACTACATTTGCTTTTGTGAATAGTACTTCTAACCTGTTTGGCTTTCAGCGATGTTTATCCGATATCGATTATAGTGCATTGTATGAAGTCTCTTGTGATTGTCTGACGGTTTTATGACGATGCTTGTATTGAATATAGGACCTATGTAGGATTTGAGGTTTTCACGGCGATGAGTCTGAAGACTTCTGTCTTCAATATGGGACCCCTTGGGCTTAGTTAATTGTCTTAAATATTTTGTATAGCCTAATTTATGTTTCGAAAGTTTTCTCTACTTCCGTCTTCAGGTGAATTGTTACCACATACCTGAGATCCCAAGTATTATCTCAACTGTCACTGTGATATTAAAAATAAAAGTAATTATATATGTCAGTACAAATTTTTAAGTGTCGTGTGCTGGAAGTATATTTCAAAAGACTATGCACTATATCCAGGATAATATTATTATAAAGGTGTCATTCGTGGCAAAGAACAGTTCCACTTTATGGACCCTGTAAAACTTCTAAATACTGTTACGACACTCAGGGTAAAACACCAATACTGCTTTCGAAAAGTGTGTCAGATTTTCTTGTCAAAAATCAGATACTTGACGTATTATGTCGTGAGTATGTAAGGATTTTGAAGGACTTACTCTTGTCTGTTTGAAGGCAACATTCCAGTATTCGGCTGGAGAAATCTAGAAGAATGGTAGAAAAAACTGTGATCCGAAGAACCTGCCAATACACAACACCATCATGCTCTATTAAACAGCGAGTATACATGTATGTGTGTACGTGTGCATTTCAAGTAGACCTACCACTCATTATCTACATATCTCAAATTTACATTTCCTCTTTATTTATTCCTTAATTACAAATATTTTCAGTAAAATTTCCTCCGTTTTTCTTCTAGAGCAGGAAACCAAGTTTCACACCCATAAACCAAAGTCATTATCACATGTCTGGGACATCCGTTGGATTTAGACCAATTCCCAAGTCACTTGCTGGAATTTGTGGTGACAGAACGGTGCCCGGCACAGCAAATTATGTGGTAAGGTAATAATTCGATGTCGTACAGTAATTGTGTTGATGGTTGAAATGTTATCCGCGAGAGACTTCTCTCATGACGTAATGGGGACCCCGCACCCCAGTTACAGCAACGTAGATTGTCCCACGTATCGCGTTTCATGGAAACGAGAATTAATTACCTCATTTGGTAATATTATATCTACAAACTGATCACGTCTGCTTAATTAATGTAATTAATTACATATTTATCTGGTTGATACCTCGGCATACTTACAAGGCACAAAGGAGCTGGGAATTAAAGTGGTGTATCAGACTCGTGGATACATTGTGCCTCCGATACGTGACACTTTTGTAAACGCCAAAACAGATGCATCTACACAGGGTGTTCGTGCATTATTATAATACCAAACAAAACCGGGGCAGCCATTATAATTGTTCCATGAAATTTAGTCAAAATATTTCCTGTATGAAGAACGACGCCATTGTCGATACATGGTTTACAAGACTTTCATCTGTTCATTTCGTTTAAATTATGTCAGACTTGTATAACTAAATTCTGTTATGAAGATTTCCGTCTTCTGGGTTGTTGCGCTGTGTAGTCTGGTCGATGTTAACCAACGTTTCAGAGGTCATACTGCCTCCATCATCAGGGCGATTCATCACTCTGATGACGGAGGCAGTATGACCTCTGAAACGTTGGTTAACATCGACCAGACTACACAGCGCAACAACCCAGAAGACGGAAATCTTCATAACAGAATTTAGTTATACAAGTCTGACATAATTTAAACGAAATGAACAGATGAAAGTCTTGTAAACCATGTATCGACAATGGCGTCGTTCTTCATACAGGAAATATTTTGACTAAATTTCATGGAACAATTATAATGGCTGCCCCGGTTTTGTTTGGTATTATAATAATGCACGAACACCCTGTGTAGATGCATCTGTTTTGGCGTTTACAAAAGTGTCACGTATCGGAGGCACAATGTATCCACGAGTCTGATACACCACTTTAATTCCCAGCTCCTTTGTGCCTTGTAAGTATGCCGAGGTATCAACCAGATAAATATGTAATTAATTACATTAATTAAGCAGACGTGATCAGTTTGTAGATATAATATTACCAAATGAGGTAATTAATTCTCGTTTCCATGAAACGCGATACGTGGGACAATCTACGTTGCTGTAACTGGGGTGCGGGGTCCCCATTACGTCATGAGAGAAGTCTCTCGCGGATAACATTTCAACCATCAACACAATTACTGTACGACATCGAATTATTACCTTACCACATAATTTGCTGTGCCGGGCACCGTTCTGTCACCACAAATTCCAGCAAGTGACTTGGGAATTGGTCTAAATCCAACGGATGTCCCAGACATGTGATAATGACTTTGGTTTATGGGTGTGAAACTTGGTTTCCTGCTCTAGAAGAAAAACGGAGGAAATTTTACTGAAAATATTTGTAATTAAGGAATAAATAAAGAGGAAATGTAAATTTGAGATATGTAGATAATGAGTGGTAGGTCTACTTGAAATGCACACGTACACACATACATGTATACTCGCTGTTTAATAGAGCATGATGGTGTTGTGTATTGGCAGGTTCTTCGGATCACAGTTTTTTCTACCATTCTTCTAGATTTCTCCAGCCGAATACTGGAATGTTGCCTTCAAACAGACAAGAGTAAGTCCTTCAAAATCCTTACATACTCACGACATAATACGTCAAGTATCTGATTTTTGACAAGAAAATCTGACACACTTTTCGAAAGCAGTATTGGTGTTTTACCCTGAGTGTCGTAACAGTATTTAGAAGTTTTACAGGGTCCATAAAGTGGAACTGTTCTTTGCCACGAATGACACCTTTATAATAATATTATCCTGGATATAGTGCATAGTCTTTTGAAATATACTTCCAGCACACGACACTTAAAAATTTGTACTGACATATATAATTACTTTTATTTTTAATATCACAGTGACAGTTGAGATAATACTTGGGATCTCAGGTATGTGGTAACAATTCACCTGAAGACGGAAGTAGAGAAAACTTTCGAAACATAAATTAGGCTATACAAAATATTTAAGACAATTAACTAAGCCCAAGGGGTCCCATATTGAAGACAGAAGTCTTCAGACTCATCGCCGTGAAAACCTCAAATCCTACATAGGTCCTATATTCAATACAAGCATCGTCATAAAACCGTCAGACAATCACAAGAGACTTCATACAATGCACTATAATCGATATCGGATAAACATCGCTGAAAGCCAAACAGGTTAGAAGTACTATTCACAAAAGCAAATGTAGTCATTGAGAGACAATCGTGCGCGTTGTTACGGTTACGATTTTACTGCAAATAGGCCTAGGGTATAGTTTGTTAACATAATTTAATCATCACTTATTAAGTTATGATAATAATGATAATAATATCGCCCAACAACAGGAGGCAGTATGACCTCTGAAACGTTGGTTAACATCGACCAGTCTACACAGCGCAACAACCCAGAAGACAGAAATCTTCAGCAATTTTTGTCATTTCATAATTTCCCTCGGAGCCTGTAATATGAATGATTTTTTTTACTTTTCCCCACTTTTGAATCATTTACTACCTATACGCCCATTCGCACGCTCTGGGGCGGCTGGTAGAGCAGTCTTAGCGACGGAAATCTTCATACTCACCGCTGTGAGAACCTCAAGTCTTACAAATTCTGTTATGATGGCTAGGTTCTGGGTTGTTGAGCCGTGTATTCAGGGTAAAGCATAGGAAAGATGATAAATTAATACAGGACTTTGGTGCTAACGGTAAGAGGCCACTTGGAATACGTGATTTAAACTGGAGTATAATATTAATATATTTCTTGAATAAATAAAGTATGAGTTAACTCAGGACAGATCCAGTGGCGGGCTGATAAAACCACAATAAT